AATGTGGGGAAGGAATCTTGGTAGGGGCCCAGGGTAGCATTTGTGTGAAGATGTATATTCTTTTGATCAAGAGGTTCAGGTGCTCCCGAATCCACCAAAAAGACCATTTTTTTGAAGTTTCAATTATTTTGGTGTTTGCACAGAGAGAGAAACAAAAATGGGGAACACAGTATCCATATGAAATCTATCTCGTGAGGTCTAGTGTCCAGCACAAAGAAGAAACTTAGTATCTAAAGATTAAGATTATTGGAGTTTGGTTTTGGCTCTGCTTAGGGCTCAAGATTGACTCATTACTATGCTGTGCAGGCTGGCTTCAAACTCCTGTGAACTTGTCCCTGGTGACTTGCCACCTAAGGAGAGAGGAACCCTCCTCCAGAAGGAACTCTGTAGCTTTGGGGAAGGCGCGTTGGCCTGGAAACCCAAAAGTTCTTTATTTTAGGTATCTTCTTCCATGGAATGCTGTCAGTGTATTTGTGCACTTCACAAGATCTTACCACAAACCTCCTATGTGATGAAGGGAAAGACACTTACACCAGCATTTTTGGATATGGCAACCCTTCTGAAATCTGAGTAAAGAATTACTTCATTCCTTGTGAAATTTAGCAGAAAGGATGGTGATATGGCAATGCACTGAACTGTGACTCATGAGGCTTGGCTTCGACTCCTGGGTTTAGCAATTCCAGACTTTAGTCAAGTGACTTAATCTGTGTCTGGTTCCTTATATAGGCTATTTCGGCTTGTTTAGAATTCAGGAGCTCATGGATGACTTAGTGCTGAGGAGCCTTCTAAAGCTCTGGAAACCATCACAGATCCAGGCAGCTGCACCATTATTTCCTGTTACTGGCTCAATGAGGGCATCCACTCTCAGGCTTCCAGCTCCCCTGGTAGTCACTTACCTTGGGTGGAGACATGTCTTGCTCCCTCTGGACCAGGGTATTTCCAAGCTGAACAGTTCACTGCCTTCACTGTGGTGTTCCCAGCAAAAGACAGGCTACCTAAGCAGGCTTCACATGCCTTCTCTTCAGATACTAATAATGCCTTCTCTTCAGAACAATTGTCAACAATTAAGTTACCACACACACTTCTTGTGCAAGCCTATTTCATTCGTAAGATAAAAGCACTACAGAGGAAAACACATTAAAAACAATAAGAATGTATGTGCATGCCAATGAGCTTGCCAGTGATCACCCCAACTCTAATGTAGGCTCTGTCAGAAGCAGTCCTTGCAAACCCCACAAAGGAGTCTCTCTTCTATGGTCACAAGTTCATAACAGCCTCAGCTCAGAACTAGCACCTTCCTAAAAAGTTTACTCTTTCCTTTATGCAGTTTGGGGGTATTTGGTTGGGAACTGGTTATTAGTAGACAGTAGGTCTTTCCCTCCAGTCTCAGCTTCAAAAGACTGGGTTCAAAGAGGTGGTGTATGTATTTAAGATGGAATATATGGTTTTAAAGAGTTAAGGTGTTAATATAACTCATTTACTGTCCAGCACTACACAGTGTGTTAACTAAGGTTTGAGCTTTGGCATAGAGAGACTTTAGCCTGCTTAGTACTATGGCAAATACACTATTAACTTTTCAAAACTTTTTGTTAAAGATACGGGGGAGGAAAAAAATTCAATTATTTGGAATGTTAAGTAAGGCTTCTATTTTAACACTTCACATTTTATTGGGGTTCTTAAAGGGGGAAAATCCGTGTTTGACAGTTTTTTTTATATAGTATTAAAGTTGGTAATAACTGTCCTTTTTTGGGGAAGAGAAGTAGTTAGTTGAGATGGACTGGAACTGTTGTTGGCATTAAAGCTTGATTCAATTTTCTAAGAAGATAAAACAAGACAAATCCATGCAAAAGGGGAGAGAAGAATAGCAAAGATGGAAAATTCAGCTTCTTTCTCTGATACTGACTTGAAACCTCACTGATGGAAAAACACAGGCACAGCACTGTCATGTTCCAGGGTACAATCTAGACCAGTGAGGTGTGTCACCACCTGCCCCGCAACCGTGGATGCCTCACAATGCTTTGCTGTTGTAGCTCCCAACCGGGGCTTCTTCCAAACAGCCTGACAGCATGCCGGTCACATCCTGAGTATCTGTGTATAGTTGTAGCCCTGGTCCAGCAACTGTGATCCCGGCAGGCTGTCGGCAACACTCCAGTCTTATTCTGGCTTGCACTCGCCTTGTTTACTACTTTCAGGGTGACCCCAACACATTCCCATTCCTGAGGTTTTTCCAAAAATCGTGTGTTCTGCACTGTCCAGCCTTTTTCTGGACAATTCAGGTATTAAAGGTCCATTGCCCCTGTAAAGGGTCAGTATTCAACTGTTAGCTATTTTAACTGAAGTTACCAGGCAGTTCAGTTTAAACACAACACTGGATTATTTTAGATTAAAAAGAATTATTTAATTACAAAGAGAGGTTTTAAGTGATTACAAGTAAAAGATATTAAAGTCAGAAATGGTTACAGGAAAAATAAAGATAAAACGCTTCCTGGGAGCTAAAACTTAACAAGCTAGACTTGGTTCAAGGTAAAATTCTTACCAGAGGTTTCCAGCAATATGGCTGACCAAATTCTCAGGTCAGATTCTCCCCGCAAAGTGAAAGGGCTGGTTTCTTTGTTGTCTTAAGTGAAAGAGAGTAAGACGATAGGATGTTTTTGCTCTTTACTTTTATAGTCCAGTAACCCTATGAATTGCATTTTCTTGAGGGTTACCCCTAGATAAAATTCCTTCCTGCTGTGAGGAAGGATACGTGGAGACTCATGGTGAAAGAGGTTCCAAGTTCGCTAAAATGCAGGTTTATCTGTTCCTGCCCCGCTTTGTTGCCAAAGAAGGCCATTGGACAGGTGATTGCCAAGCAACTTTGACACCTGACTAGAGGTGTCAGCTTGTCCCTTGTCTTTGAGAGAGCCATTTACACGCTCCACAAATCTCCTAAGGCAGGGATTGTCGTGACAAATTTTTTGGTGGGCTCAATGCTTGCTGGTGGCCGCACTGACCCTTTTTTTTTCCTGAAAAATTGTGTTTTCCTAAAGTTGTTAAAGTAATATGCACATATATACATCTAAATCATTGTAATTTATTTATATAAGGTTTTGGGGTTTTTTGCGGACTCAATAATAAAAAATCATGCACAGTTATCTCTATTCTTTACTGGACCTAACAGAATTGAAACACAGATAAGGTTCTTTGCATGTTCTTGTCTTTTTTTTTATTGTTTCTTTTGCTTTTTATGGTTATAGTGGTTGTCTGTATAACAATTCTGAAGTAAATTTAAAAATGCTTTGACATAATAGAAGTCCAAATAATAATGAAAAACCTCTTGGTGGCTTGGGTCTGGGGAGGGAAGGAGAGGCACAGCTGTGGCTGGCCCGGGGCTCCTCTGGGCAGGTGGGGGTGGCTCGGGGCTTCAGCCAGCCTGGAGCCCCTCTGGACGAGGGGCAGGGTGCTCCAGGCTTCATTCAACCCAGAGCTCCTCTGGGCAGGTGTGTGTGTATGTGGGGGTCTTGGAGCCTTGGCCAGCCCAAGGCTCCTGTGGGGGGAGGTGCTCAAGGCTTCTCCAGGAGGGGATCTTGTGGCTGCAGGCTTAGGGGGTTTCGGGCCTGCGGCTACCAGGGGGGAGGCGGAAAGAAGGGGTGGAGTTGGGGGCTAGCCTCCCCAAAGAGCGGCTCCACCTGCCGCTCACCTCCTCGTGCACAGGCCCACTACTCATCTCCTGCGTCCCTCCTCAGTCCCCCACCCGCTGCTCATCTCCTCGCTCCCCTGCCCACCTGGAGAACTTCCACTTACTGGTGGCTCACCGCTAACCTCCTCACTCCCCTCCTCACAGCCAGACCCCACCCCGACCCCTGCTTCCTTACCCTGCTGCTGGCTCGCTGCTAGTCTCCTTACTCCTTCACCAGGCTCCCTGCTGCTCACCTCGCTGCTTGCCACCTCACCTTGCTCCTTAAGAATTGTGTGTTCCACCTGTGTCTCCAGAGAGGCGGTGCATGCAGGAGAGTCAGAGGAAGGGGAGGGGCTGATGTTTCCCCCCCCCCCCCCCCCCCACTGCACAGGAAACTGCTGTGGCCGTAGGGAAACCTGGTGGCTGCATGCAGTCATGGTAGCGGCATTTGAGAAACTGTGTCCTAGAGTATGCCTACACTGTAATATATGCCTGGGTTCAGACTCGTGCTGGAACCCAGACTCCCCCTTCCATCTACACACACACCTCTCCAATTCTGGCTCAGACTTAGGCTCCGAGGACCCTGTGGATATGGAGGGTCTGAGCCAGAGTCAAGCTGTGACCCAGGGTTCAAGCCCTATTGCTTTGCAGTGTAGATTCAGCCCTATCTCCCTCCCCCACTCCTTACTCAGGTTCTGGGACTCGGCCAAAAGTGTCACACAATCCCATGGACCAACTTCCTTTGTCCTTTCTCTCCCAACAATCTCCAACTCCGGTGAAAACGGAAGCAGCCCCCCCTTGGTGTGCAGCAGCAACTTGGTGAGTCAGCATTAACCCTGCCATTATCTTCTGACCACTAAGCTGCAAACATCCCATTCTGTATTTGTAAAGGAGACTGAACAGAAGAAACCTTTAGCAAAGAGTGCTGCTTCATGGTCATGGGAACACAGCCAGATTTTGGTAAATCCTTGACGCAAAGCCAGCAAAAAGTGCACTTTAGTAAGAGTACCAGCAATGATCGCGCATACCAGCAAATAGCAAAGAAGCTGGCAGCTTTGCAATTTACCGGGCTGGTGACCAATGCAGAGAGCAGATTAACTGTCTCAAGAGTGAGTACTGGAAAACCAGGGGTTAGTACGGCACCTCGGGCAGATGGCCAACATCATGCCGGTTTTATGAGTATGACCTGGGTGCTGGGCATCGTGCCCAGCACAGAGCCCAATGGTAACCTGTTAGCTGGAAAGGTGCCCTGCTGGTCCCAGAATCCAGTATGGGGGATGATGGGAGCCAGCAGCAGGCCGTGAGGACAATGAAGTGACTCTGTTGCTGAAACTGGTTCTAGAGCAGGAGCAGCAGCACGTTCTGGGTCCATACTTGGAGCAACTGTTTGATGCCTCCTTGAGAAACAACCCACCTCAGAGTCTGCAGCAGACACAGATGGACAGAAGCTGCCCAAGCCTGGTAAGTTTCTGGCTGCGTTTTAATGTTTATTAATACACTAATTGGAGGCATTTCTGCTCTACGAACTGATGCAAAAGTTATGCAGATTGTCAGCTAGCAGTGTGTACCCACTAATGGCAGATTGTATGCCAGCGCCTTGGCATCCCCCTCCCTCCCTCCTATGCCTGTAAGTATGCTACTTTGTTAGCACTCACCGGTCTACTGAGCTGACTGGAAACAGAGAACTATGTGTGGTTGAAGGATGTGGAAATGTGTTTTTGATTTACAAATCTAGTCCCAAATACTACTGGATTTGAAATTTTACCCAGAAATGTGCCAGAGGTAAAGGAGAGCAGGAAGGCTGTGGAGTTCTGCGTGTTTGCATGCAGCCATAACAGAGTAAGTCATATGGAAGCTAATGTAGCATCCTGCTGATTCCCTCATGAATTCTGACCTATTCCCAGGTGCTGATAGCTGCAAGCTTTTCCTGAAGCAGGAACTCCAGTCAGTCATATTCTGGGGAAGAGCATATTTTTCAGGGCCATCTCGGTAGCTGACCAGCCCACTCCATTCAGATGTACTGTTCAATCACTATATTTGAATACCTCGGTTGCATAAACTGCAGTTTCCTACCCACAGCTTGGAATAACATCTCCCTTTGCCAATTGGGCACCACAAGAACTGCTGTGTCCTTGAAAATATGGAAGGCCTGAAATGATAGTAAAAGATTTTGTAGCACAGTCACTGATGGCACTCTTCTCCCCTACCCCCAACTCAGGTAATTCTGCAGAGTTCTAAAACCAAACAAACAGCTTTGCATTTTTAACTCACCGCTGTGTGTGCACTTCTTTTGCTGCAGTTAATCAAGCTGTGTCCAGTGAAATTCTGTGGTCTGAAGCATCCCTCTCACAATATGTAGAACTACAGTTTGGAGAAGTATCACTTTGTCCATAGGCACCGACTCCGTGGGTGCTCCGGGGCTGGAGCACTCACGGGGAAAAAATGATGGGTGCTGAGCACCCACCAGCAGCCCCCATATCAGCACCTCCCCTCCCTCCTCCCCCAGCGCGTCCTGCCCACTGGCGAGCCCCATTAATCAGCACCTCCCCTTCCCTTCCCGCATGCCACAATAAGCTGTTCCATGGTGTGCAGGAGGCTGGGAGGGAAGGGGGAGGAGCGAGGAAGTGGCCTGCTCGGAAGAGGTGGGCAGGAGTGAGGCCTTGGGGGAAGGGGTCAGGCACCTCCCGGCACTTTGGAAAGTCAGCTCCTGTGACTTTGTCCTTGAAACTTCAAAAGGAATTTTTCTGTACTCCTGCACTGAGCTATTTGAGACAGTAACCCTCCATGTCTTGTTCTGTTCCAGGCCCCTTGACCTCCACTGGCTTCAGTACCTCCACCTTTTGTACACATTGCATCAGAAATCTGGGCCAGTGTACCTTCACAAACCATTCGAAGAGGAAGCCTTTCCCTGATGAATTTAGGGTTAAGGTTTTGGACAAGACCAACAAGCAGGTCCTGTACCAAAAACAGAGGGACTTGCGGCTAGAGGAAAGGCTCAGGCTGGCTGCACAGATTGAGGCCAGGGTTTCAGTGTGGAAGCACGCATTTGAACAGGATAAGTGAACAGGAGAGAGCTCAGCAGAAAACTTTCAGTGGCTCATATTGCTAATGACTGCAAGAGTAGTCTGCAAGGCTCCTGCTGCATCACCCACACCACAGCCTGAGTCCCTTGCCTGCTACCCGGTGCTGCAGTCCAAAAGCAGCTTAGAAGACTCCAGGGCTGGGTGGCACATCCATGAGTGGCTGGGCAGGGCAGCCTTGCCCCATGAAGCCCTCCATGTTCAGTCCCTCCCCTGTGGATGCCTTCAACCCCTTCTCACACTGCCAACTCCACGGCAAATGGGGAGAGAAGAGAAAGGAGAACAGGTGGCCAGAGGACATGCCACAGTAGGAAGTTTGTCCTGTACATGATTTCACTGTTTGCACTGGTTCATACACTTCATTTTTTCTGTAAAATTCTGTTACTGGTGTTTTGATGTGATGACAGCTGGCCTGTCTGGGAATTGATGAATTTTGTACTTTTGTAATACATTGTTTATATAAAGTTTTTTTTATTTCATCAAGAAAGTTTATTGCTATCACTGCTTCACATCATACAATGAATATTTAAAATAATAAAGGTAAATGCATGATCAGGGACAGTTATGAATTTGTCTGCAAAGACTATCCTGCAATACAGTTGTCTAGCAATATATACTTCAATCTTTTCCTTACATCAATCCATACTGTGACTTCCTCCACCCCCTTCAGAAGTGGCCATGTCATTCATAAGTATATGGCATAGTACTAAAACCTGCCACAATCAATGAGCCCCTCTCCCAAACACATTAATAATGGTACTATCTCCCCCTCTTCCATTGGGCCATGTAAGTCAGTAAGGTGGGAGCACAAAGTATCCCTGATGTGCCCGGGTGCATCCAGCTCCATTTGTGATAGGTGCACTTTCTAGCTGAGCATACTGATTCAGTGGCCCCTTGTGGTCATAGGTCTATTCAGGGGGAAATGACTCACCTCTGGCTTCACAAAAATTGTGAAGAGCACATCAAGCCACAGTAATGTGGACAGCATTGATTATGCTGGCATCCAAATGGGTCTCTAGACATCTCCAATGGGATTTCAGCGAGCCAAAAGCACATTCAGCAGCCAGTCGTCATCTTCTGAGAGTGTAATTAAACTGTCTTTTGCCGGGCCCTTTTAAATTAGGGTATGGTTTCATAAGCCAAGGTAAAGTGAGTATGCAGGGTCCCCCAGAATACCAGTGGGGACAATAACTCCATTTATGACCAATCTCATTTGGTGAGAATAGTATCCCAGCTTGTCCATGAATGTAGACTCCTGATCAGGAAAAAACCCTGGCATTGTGAACTTTCCCAGTGCAGTCCATGTTAACATTCATGAATTCCCCTCTGTGGTACATGAGGACCTGGATATTTAGTACCTTTTGTGGTTTATGTACTCGTTCCCCTTGAGGAGGGCAAACTGTGGGCACAAGTCTCATCAGTGGCACCAGCACAGTTTGGAAGCCTCATTCTCTCAAAGCCAGCAGTTACTTCAGGAGTATCTTCTATGCCCACCACCTTGGGGGTAAACTACAAGCCTAATTGCCTCAGAAAGCTCTGTCACCACTTTACCATAGTCAACTTTCCAACACCAAACTGGTTTGCAATGGACCTGTAGCAGTCTAGGTTAGCCAGCTTTCCAGATGGCTATAGCAATCTGTCTTGTCAGGGCAAGCTGCTCACAAAGCTCCAGAAATGTAGCTTTCTTCATGCGAAAGTTCTGGACCCACTGCTGGTCATCAAAGGTATGCGTGACTGTGATCCCACCAGTCTACATAGCGGGCATCAGTGCCTGTACTGAGTAAATGAGCAGCATCAGCCAATGTGAGTCTGTCATGCCTGGTTGGTGGTGGTACTCCACTAACACCTCCTGCTCTGTCATAAGCTCTGTCAGGTGCCTTTGATAGGTCAGAAAACACTGCCGAAATGTCTACCAGCATTTCATGGCAGCTCTGACTGTTTCGTGACACGGGAGTGAAAGCAAAACAAAGAGAAGTCTTTGAAAAGGTGTCTCCTCAGTGTTGCTGGCTCTGGTAGCTGGGAACACAAGGACCAAAACAACGGCTGGGCAGGATATGTTGGTGGGCTATTCAAAATTCTTGTAAGATGCTGGGCGGACAGTCAAGTTTTTCCACAGTTCACCATGGTCCAAGTGTTAGAGCTGTCACATTTTTGGGAGGGTGCCAGTAGCATGTGTCTGCGCTGCAGTGTGGATGCCAGAGCCCCAGTTTTGAGCTCTAGTTAGATCTTAATGTAGGGTTAACAGTCTATGTAGATGCTCAAGCCCTGGTTTCACTAACCCAGGTCAGCTGACTCAAGTCCTGGGCTTACATTAAGGTGTAGACATACCCTTTCTTTAAGAACCCCAAAAGGAAGTAGTGGATGAAATAGCCCATTCCCATGTTATTTTGTTCACCAGTTAGGCCTAGTTTTTTGACACACCAGTTTTGGTTCACTGATTTTTAATTTACACTTTTTAGTTTACTCATGATTTTAATAGTCTTTGAATTAAGTCCGTGAACCTTTTTGTTTGGACTAACTCAGTTTCTTGTCTCTGTTTTGTAACCTTTCCTATTAATATTTATTATACGTTATTGTGACATTTATGAACTTTTACATACTTTTTACAATTAAGATCTCAATTCAGGTAAATATGGAGGCCCAGTTATTACAACAGGAGAGAATTTGCATTTCCCTCCTCCCAACTACTTTGTAGGAAATCCATTTCATACACGTTATCCAAAAAGCCCTTTCAAGTTCCTAATAATTTCTAGAGATTGTGTTAGTTTCCTAGAAGAGTGACATACAATTCCACAGTAACACACAGATACAACTGCATTTTTAATACAGTTGACCCCAAAGGTATTAAACTTAATTCAATAATGTTTATCTTAATTCCATAAGTTTTTTGTTCAGGATATTGTCAGTCTGTCACAGGGGGATCAAATGTTCTCACACTTAGTTTTTATTTCAGAGATGCCCTCTGTAGGTGGCTCTTGGAGGCAGGTAAGGGGTGGCTGGTATCTAAAAAGGATGTTGAGGGATGCTGCAGGTCTGGGGATCCAGTGTTTTGTGTAGGAATATAGGTCCTGTTAAGGTTTCTTCCCCACTTTGAACTTTAGGATACAGATGTGGGGACCTGCATGAAAGAACTCCTAAGCTTATATTTACTAGCTTAGGTTAAAACTTTCCCAAGGCACAGATTTATTTATTTATTTATTTTTGCCTTGGGAACCAGCTTAGGTTAAAAACCTGATACGCTGCCGCCACCAAGCGATTTAAACAAAGAACAGGGAAAGAGACCACTTGGAGACGTCTTCCCCACCCCCTCCAAAATATTCCCCCAAGCCTTACACCCCTTTCCTGGGAAAGGCTTGATGATGATATTCTTACAATTGGTACAGGTGAACGACAGACCCAAACCCTTGGCTTTTAAGAACAATGAAAAATTAATTTATTTAAAGAAAAATTAAAAGAATTACCTTTGTAAAATTAGGATGTAAATACTTTACAGGGTAATCAGATTGGATGCATTTGTGGTTACTAGGAATGGTTTGTTAAAGTCTGGGGCTCTTTGCACAGGGTTAGACATGAGTGTTGCTTTAAGCTGGTTAAAGGCCTTTTGACACTTTTTAGTTCACTGAACTGCATTTGGCTGGCTTTTTTTGGTTCAGTTTGTTAGTGGGGCGGTGATTTGGCTGTATTGCGGTACAAATTGCCTGTAATATTCGGCCAAGCTTAAGAAGGATTGGACCTGTTTTTTTGACTTTGGGACAAGCCACTTTTGGATAGCATTTACTTTGGCATGTAGGGGGTTGATCGTTTTTTGACCCACCTGGTGTTTAAGGTAAGTTACTTTGTTTAGGCCTATTTGACACTTTTTAGACTTAACCGTTAGTTTTGCCTTTTTTATGCACTTGAAGACTTTTTGTAGATGTGTTAGGTGTTTTGCCCAGGAATCTGAAAATATGGCCATATCCTTAAGGTAGGTGACTGCATATTTTTTTCAGTTTCGCCAGGAAACCATTTACAAGTTTTTGGAAAGTGGCGGGTGCATTTCGCAGCCCAAAAGGGAGTACATTAAATTTATACAGCCCGACGTGTGATAAAGGCTGACCTTTTCTTGGCAGATTTATTTAGCGGCACCTGCCAGTACCCTTTGGTTAAGTTTAAAGCAGAGATGAACTGGGCCTGTCCCAGTTTCTTTATTAGTTTATTTGTGCGTGGCATTGGATAGTTGTCTGGGCAAGTTACAGCATTTAGCTTACGGTAGTCCACGCAAAAACATGTCTCCCCATCTGGTTTGGGAACTAGAACCACTGGAGATGCCCATGCACTGCCAGAGGGGCGGATTACACCCATTTATGGCATATTTTGGATTTTTCGTTTTATAGAAGTTTTAACTTGAGGAGACACCCGGTAAGGTTGGGCTCTAATTGGGTGAGCATTACCTGTATTAATGAAGTGGTATGCACCTTTAGTCAGTTTTGGGGTGGCTGAGAATGTTGGCGCATAGCTAGTGCACAGCTTTTTGATCTGCTGTTGCTGCATACGCCCAAGGGTTATGGAGAGGTTCACCTCTTCCACACCACCATTACTTTTTTTTTGTAGTAGACACCTTTACGCCACTTAACGTTGTTGTTTTTTTTTTCTGGGCTGTAAACTGACCTTTAATTTTTTGGAATAAAAGCACTTTAGAGAATTAATATGGTACACCTTAAGCTTTTGGTTTGAGGTGGGGAATGCTATGAGATAATTAACAGCTTCCAGGCGCTTTTGGACTGCGATTGGCCCTTTTTATGACGCTTTCATTTTATGGGCCTGGAGCACCTTTAAGACCATGACCTGGTCCCCTACTTTGAAGGAACGCTTTTTGGCATGTTTATTATACCTGGCTTTTTACTTTTTTTGAGCATTTTTTAGGTTTTCTTTAGCAAGGGCTAAAGAGGTTAGGAGGATGTTTTGTAGGTTGGTTACAAAGTTTAGAATGTTCGTTTTTGGTGAAGGTTTAAACCTCTCCCATTGCTGCTTTACCAGTTGTACTGGCCCCTTAACCTCGTGGCCATATACAAGTTTAAATGGTGAAAACCCTAAACTGGGATGGGGTACAGCTCTGTAGGCAAAGAGCAACTGTTGCAACACTAGGTTCCAATTATTGGAGTGCTTATTTACGTATTATGGCCCCTAAAGTTTAATTAAACTTTTTTCTCCAGGTCATTTGTTTGATGGTGGTAAGGGGTGGCAACCAAGTGATTTACCCCACGAGCTTCCCAAAGGCTTTTTATAGTTTCTGCCAGGAAATTAGTTCCTGCATTTGTAAGGATGTTG